AGTAATAGTGAATGAGTGTGTGCGCACGGACAAAAAATTATCTACTCTAATTAAATGCACAAAAGTAATTTTTTGCTACACATATAAAACTTATATCTGTGGGGACAGACAACATATTGTGTGTGTGTGTATATATATATATATATATATATATATATATATATATATATATATATATATATATATATATATATATATATATATATATATATATACACACACACACACATACATATATATATATATATATACACATATATTTTTATATTTATATATATATTTATTTATTTATATATATTTATATATATATATATATATTTATATATTTATATATATATACATATATATATATATATATATATATATATATATATATATATATATATATATATATATATATATATATATATATATATATATATATATATATATATATATATATATATATATATATATATATATATATATATATATATATATATATATATATATATATATATATATATATATATACTATACTATTAGTGAGAAAAATGATAGGTGTGTATGTTATTATGTTTAGATCAATTATATAAAACTATATAGTATATTTCACCTTATGTAAACAGTAAATTCTATAAAACCCTTCATCAACCCATACAAACAATAAGTCAATAGTTAATTAGATGGTTTTAATTTGTCAAACTTTGTTTTCAAGCGCCCATGTGAGATCAGTAGCATATATATATATATATATATATATATATATATCTTCTAGAAAACACGCCCACACTCCCACGCAAAGAAAAATATATAAAAAATACAAAAGGGAGAAAAAACATGGAAGTCAATACATAGTAGTTGAGTAAAAGCAGGAAATAAACTAAACTCGATTATATAATTAATTAAGCTAGGTAATTAATTTAGCTGCTAATAATACAATTAACTAGAAAAAAATTAGAATAACAATCAAGTCCAAAGGGACTCCCTCTTGAGAGGGTCTTGCATTACATTATTGGTAGAGGAAGAAGAAGTAGAATTATTAGCAAAGCTAAGGTAGTACTGTTGTAGATTATTATTATTATTATTATTATTATTAATATTATTATTAATAATTAAGTTGTGGTTATTGTTGTAATTAGTGGCAAATAGAAGGTGTGATTTGTCACTAATAATTATATCATCTAATTGAGGGCAATAATTAGATGCAGGCAAAAGAGGCACAATCATGTGATTATCATCATGATTTTGCTGCATCTGAATGCAAAGTATCTCGGCTTGAGCCACCGCAAGTTGCATCTGCAGCTGCGAAACTTGATTCTGCAAGTACGATATTGCCCCTACGCACCCGTACACCGGATCTCTCATCCTTGCATTCGCTTCGTATACTAAACTGCTCACTGCATCCCCTCTTTGTTGCACCGGAAGCTCCTGCATAACAAAAATATTATTATTATTATTATTATTATTATTATTATTATTATTATTATTATTATTATTATTATTGTTGTTGTTGTTGTTGTTGTTTTTCTGAAAATGTCAACCAAAAATAATTGAGTGTTACTAACCTTTCGGTATGGTGAACGAAAAATGTGTAAGAGTTAAATATATCGACCGACCAACCAACTCATATATAAAAGCCTAAGCGCCTTGTTACAGATAAATGTTCATTTTTAATGTATATTACAACTCTAAACAATGTTTCGATTTATCATGCTTATCGTGTATTTCTAGCTAGACCAGAACTTTATTAGGAGAGCTGGTACCTAAACTTTATCATATTAGTGTCAAATATTGCCCCTCCTCTACTACCGATCCCCATTTGTAACACAACTTGAATTTTTTATTTAAAAAAAAAAAAAGTATTTCTAGCTAGGGTTTCTTGAATATTTGTTGGTAGAAATAAAGAAAGAAAGAATATATATACCTGAAGCATCTTGCTGATATTGCTAGCACCGAAAACCTTATGAACAATGGCGAACTTATGAGGGTCATCGGGCGGAAAGTAAGGGGCGAATACGCAGTCCTTTGCGCAGCGCCGTCTAAGCAGTTTGCAGGATGCACATGGTGAAGTTCCTCCTGCCATTTTCTTTTTTCTTTTTTTTTTTTAATGGTGTAGCTAGTAGTGAAAAATGTCAAAGAAATTAAATTGAATTTTCTTATTTTCCCTTTGCTACTAATTTAATTTGCAGTGTGTAAGGGACAAAGAGAGGAAGTATAGTTTGGAAGAAAGTCTGTGAGAAGGGAGAAACCTATTTATAATGGTGGAGATGGCTTATTTAATTAGTCCACCATATTAATGGATCCACGTTAATTAATTAATTAAATATATGTTAATAAACAATACTTAAGGAAGGACTATATTTTTGCATGTAATCAATTAGACTAATTAATATATTCAAATCTCAGAAACTTTGTTTTTACAATTTTGTCCACGATTGATTAGAGAACATACACCACTATTATACCATCTTGATAGGACTATTTTGGTAAATTTAGCACAAAGACCATGTATCGTAATTCATCATAAGGGGTTGACCACCGCCACGGTTTACTATCTAGTTTTCCATATTGCTCAAAATTGACTTTTCTTTTTTTTTTTTCTTTTTCTTTTCTTTTATTTCTTTTCCCTTTTTTTTTGGTTTAGTGATATTTCCTTTGTTTATTTATAGTTAATTGTTGTTTTCAGTTTTACACGAGTATTAAGAATGTCAGTAGACGTGTCTTGATTTTAGAAAAAATACATTATAAATACTAAAATAACTTTGACCATTTAATGATTTGATAAGAGAGAGTTAATACTTACAATTTTGAATTAATAAAGTTAAAACCGGAAAAAGTATATTTAATGCAATATTGGAAGTCTAAAGTGATAAATAATATGAAACAAAATTATTTTAAAAAAGAGACTGCTATCACGGAAAAGATGAAGAAGTATATAATTTATTTATTTTGTAACAAAAGAACCCACAGTCAATCATATAGGTGCATTGGATAAACCCGCAACCAACTATAGTGTATAAATTTGTCAATGGCAATAGCAAGTGGGCATAAGAAGAAAGAAAGAAAAAATAAATAAAAAGATTAATTGAAGATGCAAATAATATTATTTGTTTAAAGAATAACAAAGACAAAAAGCAATAAATGTTGGTGAGAAGAACTAGGGTTAGGGTTTTAGTAAATTGGGGTTTTGTAGCATGAAACGATGCGCAGCGGAAGACCCGAAACCCGAACCGAGGGGAGAGATAATATGGGTTCAACGTGAATGTTTGTTGGATGACATTATTTAATTAATTCACATATCAAACATATATCATATGTAAATGTATTTTTTAATTTTTTTTTTAGTTATGAAAGAATAAAGATATTTGATTATTTGGTCAATATTCTTTTGTTAAATGTTGCAAGTGTACAAAACCAAATGATATATTATGGTAAAATATAATGGATAAAAGTATACATAGATTAATGGTTATCACTTATGATAAGTTCTACATTTAGTTTATTTAAGGAGTTGAATATATTTTCCTTATTTTTATTTCAAAAAATGGTATAATATAATCCTGACACTATTCAAACTTTGCTTGCATGAACTAAAGAGTGTTTGGTTAAGCTAGTCTTTTAATTATCTTAAAATATGTTTAATATATTCTTCAAATCATCTTTTACTATGTTTTAATAACTTATAAGCTCTTAAACATTCTTTCAAAATATATAATATTAATTTACAGTATATTTTGTAACTCTATAATATAAAGTAAGTTATATTTTATATGAAAAATATAAATATTGAAGGTTTAAGTAAATTAAAATCTTATAAAAGATTAATTAGTATCATAAATTTTATGTTGCATTTTCCTTTATAAGAAAATATATCTTTCAATTTGTTGTTCCTATATGTGTTTTTATTTATCGCGGTTTGTCGAACACTCTTATGGATTTTCTTGATTCTCCTGCAAAATTTGGAAAAAGATAGAAAAATATTAAAAAAAATTATTATATTCGAATTTGGAACAAGAGATTATAAATTAATGTAATCTCCAAAATTTTTGAAATCCTGCCAATTCCCAAGCATTCTAAATCATAATGAATTTGTGCATTCTGATTTTTTGGAACATAAATCGGAAACAATTTTTAAACTCATATAACTTCACTTTAATGTAAAAGAAAATTTGTAAATGTATATATTACTCATATCTAGCCGCGGAAATCGCATGGAATGGATTGAATGTGACTTTTTCCGGAAAATTTTATTTTTTTTCGGAAGTAAAAAAAGAGTTCCAATTTCCGTTAAAAAAAACAAAAAAAAAAAAAACAAACCGGAATGCATTGCATTGTGATTTTGGTATGCCTCGAAATTGGCGAAATTTCATTTTTTTTTTTGGAAATTACACTAGTTTACAATCTCTTGTTCCAAAATTGGATATAATATGAGTTTACATTATGTTTTTTTTTCGAAATTTTGCAAGGAAATGCAAGAAAATTCAGAATTTGGATAAAACGCAATAAGTTAAACATGTAGGAACAACAAATTTACACAGAGATTTTTAATAGAAAAATTCAACAGTTTATGGTACCAATTACTCCCTCTGTTCCACAATAACTTTCTTTTTAAAATTACTAGCATTTTTTCCCCGTGCGATGCACGGGATATTATTTCAAAAGCGGAAAAGAATAATTAATTTAATACAAAATAATAAAATATAGTACACTGACATGGTAAAATTTAATAATGTAGTATTATTCCAATATTATATAACATTAGTTTTTTTTTTAATTTTTGCATATTGAGATTTATAATCCAAATATATAGATAGGGTAGGATTCTTCATGGTTTAGTTTCAATTTTGATAATTGTTAAAAATTATAGTTAGAAATTAGTAGAGAAAAAATACTAAAAATAAATAAAAAATAAATAATTGCAGAAATATCATTAGGGTTTTGTTATGGTTGCCCAGCGTTTCTTTCTTTTATATATAAGATTTTTGTTCCATATTATCTGTCACTTTACATTTCCAATACTGTATTAAATACATTTTTCATGTTTAACCTTATTAATTCTATTGGAAACAGTAAGACTCATAGGATACTATTTGAGTCCACGATCTATGTTACGCTTAGTCATGAATATAGTAGTTTTCCTCCACTCTAGGTACTTTTGTTGAGGTCGCTGTAGTGCGAGGGAGAGAGTGAAAGAGCACAGAGGACCGGCGTAAGCTTAAAAAATTTTTTTTT